TTTCTCAGCTTGCTCTTCAGTGAAAAGTTCAGATCTACCACCTATGTTTTTTCCTGAAAGATTTTACAGATGAGCAGAGAACTAATTCTTTCTGATCTTGTCACAAACCTGAGAAAACTGTTGCAGATAGGAAGTTGGGTTTCTTTTTTTATTCATACTGTTTTAAATCCTGTGCTTTTCAGCTTGTTTACTTTGTGTTTTAAATCCTGTGCTTTTCAGCTTGCTTACTTCAAGTGCCCTTTACTCACATGGAAGAAGCATTCACCTTGTTAGACCTTCAAAAGTGCCAGCACCACTAGAAACTATCAGTTCCAAGTTTGCATTGCTAGATTTTATTACTAAATTTATCAACAAACCCAAAGAAAGATTAGCCTGTGGATTTAAATCCTGCATAGAGCACATGTCTACTGAATTCAGCAGACAAATATGTACGTGCATACGCTGCTTTCATATCTTACATAAAAGAATGAAACCAGAATTATAAAAAGCTTTTGTAGATAACAGGCTCCTGAAGGTTTTTGTTCAGCTTTTCTTAAAAAGCAACAAAGGGCACATTACTGAAATATTATGCCCAGGCAACATATATGTCCTTTGGGTGGTAAAGAGGGTCACACACATGACTCTTTTGGGTTTTTCACGCCCATCACCATCAGCTCCTTGGCTGACCTGGTCATGCCTTTCTCCCATGGCCAGACACAGCAGAACATAGCTTAACTGACATATGACCTAAATCAGATTTACAGACAAATCAAATCCTCATTTCCAGAGAATTTGTTTCAAGGCTTACATTAAGGCAACTTGCAACCTAGGCTCAGCAGAGATAAATTTTTAAATCTTTTGGTATGTCGCACTTTAAAGGGTTTACCATGTCTACAGTGGAGGCTGACCCCATTCAAGTCTGCCAGGGAAATGGCAACACCATGATATATTTGAGATTTTAATTCATGTCAGTACACCAAAGGTAGGGTACAACAGCAAATACAAAGTGATGAACCACCAGCTAAAGATTTTCAGTAACAAAATACCTGTAAATTAAGGACAATGTTTTCAAAATGAACATGGCTTTGGAGGCAAAACAATGCAGAAATCTAAAATAAATGTTAAAGCACTCAATTTTAAAGACAGCATTAGCTATTTTGTCTTAGGTAATGGGGAAGAGAAGGTGACAGATTTAGAGTTGAGGAGAGGGAAATCATGCAGGCTCTGATTAATCAGAACTGTCTACCCACATTTGCCTACACAAGCAGAATTAAAACCATCAAACAAGTTTTAGGGCTAGATCTCAGAGACTGCAGTGGAAATAATATGCCCTGACATTTTTGGAGTTAAAGTGATAAGGATGAGTGCAGTATTCTGTCATAACAAGTCCTGTGGTCATTTGTAGAGGATACCACAGCTCTACTTTGAGAAGAAAGAGTTAAATTACTCAGAGCTATTACATCCTGTCTGCTGCTTGGCGGGACCACATACTGTGACAGCTGCAGCTTTACATCCTCTACAAACTGACATTTTACACACATACTGAGTGCATCACACTGTTCAGCTTGTTTTCTCTATTAGCCTTAGCAATTAAAAGGGGAGCACTTTCTCTGCTAAGAGGTATGCCAACCTCTCTCTTTTGCCTTTATTGTTAAACAGCAAACCTTTACCTTTCGTTTAGAAAGGTTCTTTCTCTAAAGGGAATCGATAGGTGATACATGTCTTCCTTTAAAAAATGCTATCTTTTGTTGTGGCTGGGATTCTTTTGTTTGTTTCTTCTTAATTGGGATACAGTACAGTAAATTTACATTCAGTTCAGACCACATTTGAACAACTTCATAGCTCATCCAGATAATCAAACCTGATACAAATTTAAAATAAGGATCCATTATACACATTTATGTTGTGCTGCCCGTCGTGGCTTCTTCCACCACCTTGGTACAAATATAAACAACAAATGGAAAAGGTTGATCTAGATCAGAGCAGAACCTATACCAAAAAAACCCCCAAAATAGCAAACAAACAAAAAGTCGACATTAATGATTCATTCTACTGCTCCATAATTATCTCTGTGACAATTATACTTTGAAGCACTTATAACAGAAAGAAAGCCTTCAATGGCTTTCAGACATCTTCTATCTTCTGTCACCAAGTCTGAACTCTGTCTCCTTCCCCATTTTCCAGTCCCTTCCTCTGCCACTGCATTATTCCATGCCTATGGTAAATAAAGGTGAATTCTGACAGGGTTTAACAGAGAGGTAACTTGGTCTTCTGGGCACGTGCCTACAGGTCCCCCAGCTTCTTGTCTTTTTTTCATTGATTTGACGACTTTACCTACCTATAGCTATTATGTCTCTGAAAGCATGAAGCATGAAATATCCAGGCAGTTATTTAAATGTCAGAAGGAGAAAACAGATGTGGTCAGCTCTGCTCTTTCTCCACATGGGTAAGACCTTTGCAAGAGTTCCCTGATGCCTCAACATCCTTCCTCCTGCAAGCTTTTTCTTCTCCATATTCTTCCCGTTTTAGGTTGGTGGGTAACACATTCATAACGTCCTCAAAAGAGCCACACTTGATCACAAAAGAGCAGAACTGCCAGGGAACACCCAGCATCCAAATTTTTAATTACAGCAGAGAATGAGCTGATCACACTGACAAGCTGTGTATATGCTATCAGTCAGTTTCTGATATTGCACATCCCAAATCTTATGTCTGGAACAAGAGATTCTCCGCATTAGCCCTCACAGACATGGTGCGTAGCAGTACAGCATCTCTTGACACACCAGATGGTATTGGGAGGCTGATTCCTTAATCTGTTGACCAGCTGTGTCTCCAGCATGGAATTGCTAGAATTGAAAGCAAATGATACTCTACCTACCAGGGCTCTAACACTTCTAAGGGCCCTGACAGAAAACAGACTTCTGCTGTGTCCTAGTGTTTTGGTCAGCACTGCCATCACAGGATCCCCATTATCAGATGCTTGTCCTTGTCATGTAGCTTGACACAAACTTTCTTGTGCCCACACAGAGCAACGTTAAAGGTGTGTAGGGGCCATTATGCCTAACTTTGTGGCAACATCCTACCCAGATGGAGAACCTTTCATTGGTTGTCTGAGAGCCAAACTCATTCAGACCAAGAATCCATTTAACTCAGAAAGCTGTCTCCAACATGGTTTTAAGTGACAGCCAAGGAAAAGTAATATAGATTAGGGCAAGCATGTAGGATACCTGCCCCATATATTTTGTGTACTTCCTCTCAACACATCTGGCTCAGCTTCTACTAAAAGGATGAGACCATTTTGCGAGGTGAAGTGAGGCGCATTAAGGGAGGATCAGTAGGTTCACTTCAAAAATGCACTCCTGATCTGAATTAAAATGCTTGTGTAAACACAAGATTAGTTCCTCTAAACTTACTGAACCCACAGCCTTGTCCAGAAAGGAGTTCTACAGATCTGCTGCATAAATAATTACCTGAATTATCCCCTTTTTGTTTGTTTTGCACCAGGCCCTGACTAGTGGCACTTGGCAGTCCTTAGTTCTTATATTGGAAGAGATGGCAAACAATCTCTATTCACGTTTCCCATGCTCTCTGCCTATTCCATTCCCTGCAACTCTTATTTTTCCAGGCTGAAAGGACACACCATGCAAACTCTTCCTAATATGTAAGCTGTCCATTACAGTGCTAACATAACCTTCTGAAATAAGGTGCTGTCAAACCACAGCTTACCCAGTAGTACGTAGCAGTATATGCTTGCTGTTTCACCCTCTCTTCATTTCCTAGCAGTTTGAAACATATGGTTAACATTAATGCTTCTTAACATTTGCCTTCTCGATCAGCCCTGACCTAATGAACTCATGGAACCATCTGTCATGATCCAAAAACCTTGTTCCTGAGTGGCAACACCATAATTTGACCCTAAAAGTGAACAAGACAAGTCAAGTCTGTCATAACTGGAATAGCATTAAATTCAATATAGGAATCATTTGTTTAGACACACATCAGTGACAAGAAAAGCTGCTATTAACACATTGCACTGTCCCACAAGTTGTTTGCAGTCATTATTATATCATCATTTCTTGCTACACTACAAAGACATAATCTAATAACAAAACTCTTAATCCTAGTCTCCTGGAATTTTACACATTTAGTCCAGCATCTGTCCCATTTTCCCTTAATCCATCCTTTTGGCATGTGTGTGCCAAAAGGATGGATTGTCTGTCTCAGGATTTTACACCATTTACATTATATTCCATGTGAAAAGATCGGGTATTGCCCTTTTAGATACATTTCTAGAAGATAAATCAAGTAAAACAGACAAAAAAAGCTTCTAAGAGTTACGTAACATTTTCTTTTCCTCCGTATTGGTTTTGCTTCAAGTCCAAAGTCCAAGTTACAAAGAACTTAAGCCCAGCTTTTTAAATGCCTATCTGTGTACCAAATTTGCTGTGGAAGATCAATAGTGGCTGATCTGACCTAAACAGTGTTTCTACTTACCTGAGTGTGACTCGGATCTGTAAAAAGCTAAGCTATGACACATGTGGTTTGTTTATAGGGGCCTATCCAGAACATATAGGTCTTTCAGCACATGAGGGAGGTCAGACAGAAGCCAAGGCAGTTATCTGTGCATTCTGACTGCAGCTAAGCCTACCTAAAGAGCTGCCTTCTTCAGAACTGCAATGCTACAGTGACTTGTGTGATCATGTTGCCCTGACAACCAATGGAGTTCCTCTTTACATCTAATCTAGCAGACATCTGTATTTTCAGGGTAGATAGCCCTGAGTTTCATTGCTCACCATCACTCACATTTCCTCCCCTCCAAAAAAGCACAAAGATAATCAAAATCAAAAGTGCACTGTACAAACCTGGAGTGGTTAACTGGCATTACTGTTATGTTGCATCCCTTTACCTCAGCTGCCTGTCTGGTACTGTTGCAGCACAGATCAGTATGTGAGAGTTTGTCTCACAGTCTTGGAGTGTTTTGATTTACAAAGAAAATCAAAGAAGAAAGACTGTACACGTACCTTCAAGACAGTCCACTGCTCTACAACAATTGCATCATAGCCCTGTATGGTTTTACTGTCTTCCACAGCAACATCTTCAAAGAGAAATACTCCATCCATTGTCCCATGTAAGGAATCTGTGAAAACACAGGGTTGTCTGTAAGCTTTGTGGAAGGCACTCCATGTGTAGAGAGGCAACTTAATGTATTAATAACTTATTCTTCTAAGGGTGTTACTAAAAAAGTCACAGACCTTCTCTAATAGTCCAGCTCTATTAAATGAATGAGACTAGTATCTCAACCAGTTTTTAAGGGCAATCTTACTCCTTAATAGCTCTATTAAATGAATGAGACTAGTATCTCTACCAGTTTTTAAGGGCAATCTTACTCCCTAATAGTAAACCTCACTGTCCACTTCGTTATTCCACAGTTTGTCCTCAAAAACCACAGGTCTCCCCATTCCAAGCAGGAAAAATTAATTCAGTTCAGCAGTACTGCTTACCTGCTTGAAGTTATAAACACACTGAAGACTATGTATAATGTCAATGTGCTATTTTCAAGGGGTTTTGAAGGTATACTGATTTATATTTTTGATGTTTATGATATTGATGTTTGTGACTATATCCATTCATTCACACAAGTCAGAACCTGCATATGGATCAGCCACTGCAGTTACAGTCATCTACGCGGACTAAGGATGATCTGGCATATGAATGGTGCGAAATAAAAGATACATTCATAACTATTTAATCAATTTATGAAGGCATTTTGACCATCTGGTTTAGTGCCTCTCTATTCTCATTTGCATTCCCAGCACGTTCAGCCTTTTTTCAGACAACACATACTATTAAAGTTACTCAAGCAGCACTTTCTCCTTCAACTTAGCCATATACTCCATAACCAGCAATCACTCCCATACACAAGAACTCATGTTTTGTCAGCTCCATAAACAAACAGAATCAGAACAACTGGAAAAAAAAAAGGTTTACCTTTCCTTGCTAAAATAAGCTAAATGATGAAGCAACAGAATTATATTTAGAAAAACTGAAAATAAGCACTACTGTATCTTTACAAACAGAAAATTATTCTCACATTGTCACAAAGTGTCTTTTTCAGTCTTTCTAGTATGAATAATACATTTACCCTGAATGACTGATTATGAAGACACTGCTTACCCCCTCCCCAAGTGTTGTATTTTGCATGATAGTTTCTTTATATTTTCAGGAAAACTATGTTCCTGGTACTGGTATGATACATGCTTTTGAAATGCAATCACACATGCCAAACCAACAGATTCCTGAACTGACAGGAATTCTGCATAAGCCTGCTTAGGTGTTTCATCAGGTCCTCCTGCTTTCGTGGTGGATGTTATGAGGTCAAGAAATGTCAGCAGAAAAGCATCGCTGCCTCCAAGGAAAAACATATATCAAACTCAGAAACAATTTTCACAAAGGAGGCAGTGAAGAGGATTAAGAGGCTTCTTACCTCTTGCAGACACAATCTCAGTCAACATCTTCCAATGTCATTATATGATCTAAATTCAATTTATTATCTGCAAAGAACAAATTTGTTGCAGGCAAAGCCCACAACAAAGCAGAGTCCTACAGCTGGAGGCTTATGTCTACACACACACTGTAGCCAGACTGTTGCTGCAGGTGTCAATGCACACTCCCCCTGCTTCTATTTGCACAGTCCCCTCCTCTCTTTGGCTGCAGTCGCAGTCAGGTAATTAAGTTGCAAGAGAGGAGTTTAAATTACTTGTCTTTAAATTAACACAGCATTTGGGTTTTTTATTTCACTTGTGAAGGAAACAAGTTGTAAACCACTTACTAGGGATTCTCCTTGAGATTGTGTTGGGACACCGAAAGAGAAGAAAAATACTATCTGCTTTCACACTGTCTCCACAGGCAGGTTTCCTGCAACTCTACTTAGAATAAAGATGAAGACTCCTCACCCATACAGCAAGCCAGTATTACACACTGCTCCAAGGAGGATGATCAGGACTACAAAGCAGTAACTCCTGTCATCTAGACAGGTTTCTCATCCAAGGGAGGAGAACAGACCTTTTTGTTGTGAAATAACAGGCCAGATCACTAAGTAGCTGGGTTACAGGCTTGAAAACAGAGGGAGAGCAAGTTTGCCACATACAAAAGTGTACAAGATTTAATTATCATATTTCATTCAAAACCAGCACTTTGTTAGACTTGACATTTCAAAGAGGGAACCAACTCAACTTCTGTGCAATATATCACACTACAACACCCAAACCCATACCCAAATCTATTTCAGCAGGCATAATGTACAAATAACCCTTTAATTTTCCAGAGCAGGGGTGACAGGACGGGACCCAAGACTGAGTGCAGAAACCCATAGATTTCTATTAGGTACAGACATCCAGACCTTACCAGGGGAGCTGCATACAGCACCAGTGCACTGCTCCTGTATTGTGAATTGTCTTAATGAAATTCTTGTCACACTGTTGGCGCAACTGCGGCTTGAGCTCACCCCACGCATTTGCCAGCTAATTAATAAGCGATCAAAACACAATCAGCATGTGTGTGTTTACACTCACTCGTAAATCATCCTTTATGTTTCATTCTGCTGCACATTCCACTCATGTAATTCACAGCTTCCACATGTGTGAATACTATGGCACATATGCAATGTTTTAGAAACTAATAGCTGAGCTCATGAGACCCTACAGGCAGCAGATACTTCACTCGGCAGTGCTGGGTTTACAGTTGGACCCATGATCCTAAAAAGGTCTTTCCCAACCTAAATGATTCTATGACTTTGCTTCTTTGTTGGATGCACAATGATTACTGTTGTAGGCTACATCCATCAATCCCACAATCCATTGATTTTTCTTCTTTTGCTAGGAAAGAAACCTACAGAAAATGAGAAAACTGGAAGGGGAAAAAGGATGAGGGAGAGAGAGCTGTGTTGACTGGTGTCTGTTCAAGAGTGATGCTGGCGAAAAATTCTGTAGAAGAAACTGGTTGTTGACACTCACTAAGATTTTCCCTCTTGGTTATGACTAATCTTCTCCCTACCTGTCATGCCACAGTGTTTTAAACTTTCATGTCATGAATGCATGTCTGCCAATTCTCACACCTCACAGCTTGGCCACACATCTACCCTTTTACAGGTCATCTACTACTCTTCCAGAGAAAATGGGGAGGTAATGGAAAGAATAATTGAATCGTTAATTGCTTTGCATATGAAGCATTTGGGATGCTAAGAATAATTGGGGGAAAGGAGAAAACAGCAGAAAGAGAGCTAACAGGGTCGTATTTTAGAGGAAAGGGATACATAATCCAGCTGTGCTATCAGGATTAGCAGGAATTTCAGTGAAAATTACACAGATGTGGAAGGACAAGGACATGGACACTGAGTCTACCTGCAGTACTTTTATCACACAGGTGTCTAGATCTAAGACCAACTTAAGTCTACAGTCACAAGTTCTAGAGCTAGCCCACTAGGTGAGACACACATGGTCTAACAGTTCCACAGAATCACAGAATAATTCAGGTGGATGGGGACCTCAGGAGGTCTCCAGTCCAACCTCCTGCTCAAAGCAGTTTCAGTACAAGTGCAGACCAGACTGCTCATGGCTTTCTCTAGGTGCATCTTCTAAATCTCCATGGATGGAGACAGCTCAATTTCTTAGGCAGTCTCTTCCAGAAGTGACTCTTTTCATGATGAGAAAGCTTTCTTTTACAGGCAACAAGGATCTCTCGTTTCAATTTATGTACATTTTTTTCTCATCTTCCTACTACACACCACAATCAAGAGCCTGGATGCACCTTTTTGATAGTCTCATCATAGGCACTGCCAGGCACTGTTAGGTCCCCCAAAGCTGTTCCTTCTCCAAGCTTAATTAACTCAGTGTCTTTGGTCTTTCCTCACAGGACAAGTGCTCCAGTCACTGACTATATTGCTGACCCTCTGCTAAACTAGCACTAGTGTGCCAGTATCTTCTTTAACACGCTTTGGAGGAGGGCCCAAACCTGGATACAGCATGTGGTCTACATGCAATCTAATCAGCACCACATAGAAGAGAATAATCACTGTCTTTTATTTACTGGCTATGTTCTTGTTGTTGCAGCCCAGTATGCTGTTGCCTTCTCTACTGACAGGGCATACTGCTGCTGTTTGCTGCGTAGTAACATTCCCCTGAACCTATTCAACAGAGCTCCTACCCAGCCAGGCTGTCCCCAGACTGGATTAATGAAAAGGCCTCTCCTTTCCCAGAGGCAGGACACATGTCCTCATGGAATTTCAAGCAGCTCCTGGCTGGCACATTCTGCCAGCCTGCCCAGGTCCCTCTGGACAGCAGCCTAGTTCTGAAGCACATGAGCTGCATTCCAGTGTATGGGATCATCCACAAATTTGACAAAAGCAAGCCTCGTCGCCTCCTCTGCATCACTGATAAAGTTGTTGAACACAACAGGCCCCAGGAGAGATCTCTGGTAATCCACTTGTTACTCCAGATAAAGTGTGACCTATTAACGACAACCCTCTAAGTCTAGCCATGCAACTAGATTCTTACCCATCTAGTTGTCCTCCCATCTAGGCTGCGTGGTCCTATCTTGAATACAAAAGTATTGTGGGAGCTACTGTCAAACTTCCTTGATGAATTCAACACAAATGACATTTTCTGCTTTCTCTTCATTCACAGATTCAGACATTTAATCACAGATGACAACCAGCTCTGTCAAGTACGATTTAGTCTTGTTAAATCCATGCTAAGTGTTCCCAATTACTTTTTTCTCCTTTAAATATCCAAAAATGTGTTCCAAGAGGACTTACTTAATGATCTACCCAGGAATGAAGTGAAGCTGACCACCCTGTAGGTCCCTAGATTGTCCTTCTGGTCTTTTTTTAAAGAGGGGTGCAACCTTTGCCTTTCTTAATTGCTGGAAACTTCTCCTGATCTCCATGACCTTACAAAGATGACTAAGAGTGGCCTTGTTACAGCATCAGCCAGTTCTCCTAGCACCTCTGGATCTCAGGAACACAAGCAATTCCTATCTTGAACTTCATTCACTGCTGCTAATCCTGCACCTCCTTGAACCTTGCCGTGAAGTTCAGACCCCTGAAGACTGCTATCTTGAACTTCATTCACTGCTGCTAGTCCTGCACCTCCTTGAACCTTGCCATGAAGTTCAGACCCCTGAAGACTGTCTGTTAAGACAAAGGCAGAGGAAGCATCAAGTATCTTAGTCTTATCTAGATGTGCTGTCACTAAATCGCCTACATCTGATCTCTTTCACATATCCTGATGCAGGATGAAGTGGATCATAACACAAATACTACTGACTATATTGGTCTAGGCCTAGATCTCCACTGATGATAATGGCATTTTGGGGTGACAACTCATACACAGATACCTGCAGGGCAGAGGCCTGTATTTATTCAGCTGAATGTTACCTAACCTAACAAAGATCAGCCACCTAAAGCTTTAGATGGTGAGCTGGTCTTTCCAATTCCCACTGTTTCTCATGCAAGGTATTTCCTGATTCTGATGCAGTTGTATTTTCTTTTGGTAATCTATTCTTTAATGAGATTTAGTTCCTGGAACTTATCCTAAGAGAAAATGTTTTAGTAATTCCAAACAGTAGTTCATTTGCAACTGGGCAGTAAGGAACGCCAACAAAACAAAACATTTGGACCTTGCTGCTTGTAGTATCTTTTCCCAATCTCTACTCTTGAACTTCACTCTTTCTTAAAGAAAAGGCTCTGAAAGTAAAGGTTACAATCACTGTCTTTTCTCTGAAAATGTTCCATTACCACTGAATTTTTTATTAAGGTATCCTACTGTGTGCAAAAAGCTATTTTCACTGGGTTGTATAAATATTTGATGTAGCTCGGATGACAAAAAGCTATTTTGATGTCCTTGCTTCTGATTTACAAAAAGTATATGGGAAAAGATTACTTACTTCGCCATGACAGCTGTCCTAGTGGGTGACAATTTTCTCCTTGTTGTCTTTGAACTACAAATTCCCCTCATCTAGGAAACTAACCTTTAGGCTGCTGTTGCTCTCAATGAGGAAAACTAGCTCTCTGTGGCTTTACGTGGCATGTGACCTGAATGTTGGCCTTTGCTTCGTATTTGCATTCCTCCCTCCTTCTGAATCTTTTCACCTTCAGCACACGCAGAGAAAATAATTCCATATGGATGATAAAAATCCCAGACACTTCAGTGGCTAAGGTGACGATAATCGGTCAAATGCATCACTGGTTCATCTTTGTCAGAAGCACTGTGAATATAACAGAGACAGTCTGACCCTCTTAAAAACCTGACTACTTTCCTCTTCCAGGCGACTCGCACTTTGTTTCATTTGCTTTGTGTTTAAGTACTGTCAATGTTTTCTGGTTGGTTGGCTGCCTTTCTCTAAGTTTGAAAGGCAGAAAATTCACAGGCAGAATGGTAAAACAGATACAAAACCACTAGGCGTTTAAAGACCTGCACTTCAAGACAACTAAAGACAAACAGGCTTGTGATTACTCTGTTAAGGCATCAAAATATAACCTTGAAGAGGTTTGTCTCTTCCTCCCTTCTCACACTGCTGACTGGAGACTTGCTGTTACAGGGAAGAAGGAGACCCCACCTGTTACTTCCTTTCCATTTGGTATTAATCTGTAGCTTGCTGCTACAGTCCCCAGTTCTCACTAGAAGAGGGCAAGGGTGAATTCCTATGATCCCTTTAGATTACTAGGCAGGAATGGATTACACCTGGGACTACAGGCAGAATTACCTATTACATGAGTTGGATGAAAACCACCAGCAAATAACTGAACTGCAGATTTAAATAAATAACTATTACCTGTCAACATAAGAACATTCAAGGACCAAGCAAGCTGCTGTTTCTAACTTACTAGCAAAATCCAAATACATTTAATATACAGTGTAACTCTGCATGGTTTACATACTGTGATTTGCAATTGTGTTATACTTCTGTTTATAATTATCTGTACAATAAGCAAAAAGAAACAATTGCTATCAGTGAACTTTAAAAGTCTTTTAAAGACTAATTATTAAACTGTTGGCAGAAGGAAGAAACAGATTTATGACTACTGACAATCTGGAAATCTTCACTTCACTGGGTATTCCAAGGACAAGGGGGAAAAGAAGAAGATAATAACCCTGCTTTTAAGTCTAATAAGCAAAATAATGAATTCATACTTTCAGCCAAAGAGACAACCAGCCCCCAGAACAAAGAAATGTGATATAACCAATTAAAGGAAGTATGCTAATATTACCTTAATTTGGAAGACGATTAATCAGTCAATAAGACCAGTTATGAAGAGCTGGATAGGCTGCCATAAAAGACTAGTAAAAAGTAAGCAGCTGAGAAGCCCTCAGCCCCCTACTTTTTCCCTCCTCCCTATCCTTGGTTGTTTCATACTGGCTGGCATATGAGTGAAAAAGCTGTTCCATTTCTCTGTGGCATAGGAAAAAATTTGGATTTAAATGATAAAACATTTAACTGCAACTGATAGTAATTTACCAATGTTCTTAGCAAATGTTCTTCTAATAGCATAATACACTTTTAGAAACATTGTCTCACCTTTTTGATTTCAAAACCTGTTTTTCCTGTAACTGTAAAATGCTAATAACAATGTTTATGAATTGTTCCTCTTTGATATCTAATGTAACTTATTCCTGAATCTGTCCATTTTTGCATGATCTGTTGTCCTGTTTGCGTTGAGACTTCACTATCATCATTTGAGCCTACTTTATCCATGTCTGTTACTCTGATATCCAAGTACATGAACTTTCCCCAGGCCTCTGTTATGTAAATGAACTCTAGAAGTTTAAATAACTGAAAAATGCTCTGTTTAAAGCATTTTAGAGTGCACTGATAAGCAGATTTTATTAAACATACCCACCAAGCCTGATTAGGTTTGCCGCTGTGAGTCGCAATTTATACACATGAAGTAAATGACCATTTGTTTTTAAGCAAGTTAACTAGCAGTTACAAGGCTTTCCAGGAAGCTGTGTGAAAGCATTCCATCAGCTGAACTTTAGACCTTCCTTTTCTTGCTACTTGCTTTGTAAAATGAAAAATTAGGGTTGCCTGTTAATTTCCTGATTGACTTTTACCAGAACCAACTTAGATTACTGTGTTTTATCATGGGTCCTGGAATTCTGACCAGCAGCAAAATGGGAAGAAGATGCTCTGGAAACAGTTTCCCTATAATTTTGAGGCACAAACTGACTAATCTTAGTAGCAACATCCAATCTCTGGGTTACCACATTCCTTTTGAAGAATGCAAAACAAACCAAAATTAGGTGAAAGATTCAGCCATAAGCACTTTAACCATGAAGTATAACAGTCACAGAGTTTTCCAGTGAAATTAATCCAGCTGTAACTTTAACATGTTTATGTTCAAGTACTTCCCTTCAATCGTTCTCATAGTTCCTTAGTTAGGTCTCTTGGATCCCTGCTACACACCTAAGTCCTTGTCTGTCAGCAGGCTTCTCTTCAAAGTTGTGGGGGCCATGAGCAAAGTACAGACTGGCTAACAGTAATAAGCTGGACTCAGTGCCACATTTTCACAACATGCGAAAATCTGGATTTTTTAAATCTTCTTAAGTTAAGGCCAGCATTTATCCATCACTCTAGCTAGGATGAAACAATGACAATTTTGTCAACAATTATGCCATCCAGGTGGAAGGGGACTCTGCAAGAACTGGGAGTAACTGACAACATATTCGCCAGATAAAACTTGAAAGTCCTTACACTGACCTGCAATCAGACCCAGGTGCAGTGTGTGCCCAGACAACTAAAAGAAAAGCCACTCTTCTATTTATGTCATCTGCTTTACAATCTTATTAGTTTAATTTACTTTACTTGGTACTGTTTATTAACTCTGTGTATTTCTGCAATCACAAGATCATCTCTAGTACGTTTATAAAATGCAACACATGATCTGCTTTCCTTATTCAAATGCCAAAATATTTTCTGTGCTTTCACTCCATCTCACTGAAAGAGGCTGATATAAAATAAATCTGCCCCAAGCCTATATTAAAGCATCTCCCAAATGTCTTCTCTTCAAAGATAATGACCTCTATTAAAGGAGAAAGGAAAATAATCACAAAATTATGTTTTCTGTAATTTCCATACCATTTACCATTCCAAGGCTGAAGATGGCATTTACCAATGAGCCTCCTTTCCTGAAGTGATCTGTCATGTGCTCCAGCCAATTTGCTTCTAAGCTGTTGACAGTCTGCCCATTCCTGGAGATCCTCATAGGGATAGTCACTGTATAATACTGGCTGCACTTTTGTGGGGTTTTTGGCTTGTTGAAGAGAGCGATGATCTCTGGTTCTACCAAAAAGAAGAAAACAGGCATAATGCAACAACCATGTCATAAGATGCCAGTTTAACAATGTATAACCTACTGTTTGCCCTTGCTTAATAACGCTGTGCAACTGTGCAAAATGCTTTGAGATGTAGTTATCTCCTCAATACATCTCTACACAGTCCAACACAGTAGGGCCCTAAAACCCAATACAGTATTTTGTTTGATTACTGATAATGGATTCACTGTTGATAATAAAACATTTAAAGACAATAATACCTGAGTACTAATGCACCACTCTCCTAAGGGAGTTACCAGTGTAAGCCAAGCTAGGAAATCATGCTCCACAAACTGCTTTAAGTACCAGAAATTAATGGATGGAATACCTCTATTTTTCTACTGAGTTAATTGTTAAAAGAGCTGTGACACAGGACAGTTCAAATACAAAGCCTCACAAGTTTAGAAGGTATTGCATTCTGTTGATTATCGCCATTAAAGTATTAAATAATTTGGGTTTGATAACACAGTGGCATGGAACTAGCAAGTAGTAGTCTGAAGAAAATGCAATAAATCATTCATGTAGAGACTGTGCTAGCTGGTTCCTTTATTTACTCTGGGTCTGAGCCAAGGTGAGACATTAACACATCAGCAAATGAATTTTAAAAGTTGAACTGTGAAGGGTCTTAAAAATGAGAACATCTAGACTCTGCTCCATATCTCCCCTGGTACACTGTGGGAGCAGTTACTGTAGGCAAAAGAAAAGACAATTGTTGACAGCAAAGCTGAGCTTTCACAGCTATAAACTGGAATCAAGTTTAAATGCAGATACACCAGGACACAACCATCAATAAAATTACTGAGAAAAAAGTTTTGGACATTATTTCTTTACCTATGAATTGACATGGAAACCAATGGTAAAATTTCTATTGACTTCCAAATGCCAATAATTCTCCCAAAATATATTAATATAAAGGTAAAGCCATTGTATGAAATTTCTTCATTCAATAAGCTCCTCTTGTTTCCAAGCTATTGTATTCTAACTTCAAGTAAAAGTTAAGAGAGATATCAAGGGAAATGTTAAGATTGCTCTCTAACAAACATCACTGAGCAAGAAGCAGCATGTAAATTGAAAAGAATAGCAGAAGGGAGATGCTCAGAGACAGGCTGGCATCATGTGAAGAGAAAAGCTAGAAGCTCACAGTATAACCAACATGAAAAGAGACCTAATGATCTCAGACACGAACCACAATTCAAACAGAGTAAAAAGGAATAAATGTTACCATGAATCCTCTTGCTGTTTACCGCTTGTTTAGAAAGAATGAAATGATGATAATCCTAACTCAGAAGAGCACACACGGAAAGCTTCTCTGATCATTTTGATTCTGACAGCCAGAACAGACTCATGTTTGAAAATGGAGATCTTTCTGGTGCGTATTAAGACACTAATACAGGAAGCTGGACATGAGTTGACAATGTGTGCTCACAGCCCTGAAAGCCAACTGTATTCTGGGCTGCATCAAAAACAATGTGGCCAGCAGGTCAAGGGAGGGGATTCTGCACCTCCACTCTGGTGAGACCCAATCCGGAGTACTGCCTCCAGCTCTGGGGTCCACAGCACAGAAAGGACGTGGACCTTTTGCAGCGGGTCCAGAGGAGGACCACAAGGATGATCAGGGGAATGGATCACCTCACCTATGAGGAAAGGCTGAGAGAATTGGGACTGTTCAGACTGGAGAAGAGAAGCCTCTGGGGACATATCAGAGCAGCCTTTCAGTACCTGAAGGGAGGCTACAAGAAAGATGGAGAGCAACTTTTTACAAGGGCATGTAGAGAGAGGACAAAAGGTGATGGCTTTAAACTGAAGGCAGGCAGGGATTAGATATTTGGAAGAAATTCTTCATGGCAAGGGTAGTAAGGCACTGAAACAGGTGGCTCAGGGAAGTTGTGGCTGCCCCATCCCTAGAAGCTGATGGGGCCCTGGGCAACCTGGTCTAGTGGAAGGAGACCCTGCCTATGACAGGAGCTTGGAAATAGATGATACTTTAAGGTCCCTTCCAACCCCAACTATTCCATGATTATATTAACAATAGCAAATCATGGAAATGAAAATCTATAGGGAGACGGTAGTCTGGATTTGACACTGGGTTGTTAACAACATGCATTTAATATGTGTGGGAGTCTTTCAGTGTTGACTTGATTTGTCACCACTACCAACTGCATAGTACACCAGTCTGACAACTGTTCAAGTCACTATCGACAACAGTTTTCACCAGTGACCCTGAATCCTCGAGGATGACAAAGACACCTTCAGTTTGGTTCCAGGGGAGACAGCACTTTTGGACATACCATTGGAATAGCTGTGCCTTGTTCACAGGTAAATATTTTTCAAAACTGCTTTGAAGAGCCCTTTAATAATAGGGAAAGTGAATGAGCACTACAGCACATTCAGGAATAAAGTGAAGAAGCATAAAAATAACACTTAAATAGTATAAAACCTAAAATAAAGAACAAATATAAGATCCTGCAAATAGTAAGAAATACTACTTTCTTTCTGAACTTTTATGTAGGGAAGAAGGAGTTCAAGAGTGGTAACTTCCTATGGAATACGTTGGGAAAAAAACCACAAGAAAGAAAACCACCTGATGCTTTCAATCTTCACGTTCCCAAGGAAGGATGGAGAACTGGTGCCAAAAACTGAAATACATTTTCCATGGGAGGAAAAGGGAGTGCTGTAATAACAAAAATTCATACAGGAGTAATAAAGAAATCAGCAATGTTGTACAGGATTTGGAAAATCCTACTGTAGATGAGCTGTCACATAAAACTGCCTGCTCAGACCTTCAGTCTTGGAAAGTATTTGCATAACTCACCAATTAAAAAAATGTAGGAGAAATAAATAGAGCCAAAAAGCACTCAGAGAAAGAAAGATAATTGAGGAAACTAAATCCATTTCTGAACTAAACCCTCTTATCTGGCAAATCCACAGCTGTAATAAAATCCTGGGGTGTTACAGACAAATGTTAGGAAGACTGGAGGTGATTCGCTTCACGTTACACAGCAATATTAAGAACATGGTTACTTGCAGCAAAAGAATTTCAATGTTCAGCATGAAGAAAAATAGCATCAAAAAGATGATTAAACTTGCTAAGTTAACTCTCTCAAAGACAGCATATATAAAAAGAGGGAGAACTGATCTGATCAGACCTGAAGACAACCAATTTTTAACTATAAGACAGGTTTTATGTGTAAGATTCTAGTATAAACCAGAACAAATTATTCAAACAATAGCTATGCTTTGACCAAATCTGGGTACCCCTTTGCCCACCAAAAACTGAAGAAAGCATGGTGCAAGGTTACTAGATTGTGATGCAAATTTGATGGCAAAAAGCTAATTACACCAAACTGCAACAGAAACCAAGACAATAGTCCAAGTAGTGTACAATGCAAAGTCATTCTTGGTCCTATACACAAAATTCCCAGAGGGGTAGGATTGTTTGACTGACTCTATGTAAGACTTAAAGAATAGGGATAAAGTCAAGGACAGTACCAGCTGAAGAAATTCCATCTATATTTGCCGTGCACAGATTTGTAGCTTGCAAGAAAAGTAAGGAAAGCAGTGAGAGAAATGAGAGTACACATAGAATCATAGAATCAACCAGGTTGGAAGACCTCAAACATCATCAAGTCCAACCCTACTGTGATTACTAGACCATGGCACTAAGTGCCCCATCTAGTCTCATCTTGAAAACCTCCAGGGATGGGGAATCCACCACCTCCCTGGGCAGTACATTCCAACCCCCACCTGACTCCAACCTCCTGTCAGAGAGTTGTAAAGGGTGATAAGGTCTCCCCTGAGCCTCCTCTTCTCCAGGCTACACAACCCCAGCTCCCTCAGCCTCTCCTCATAGCACTTGTGCTCGAGTCCCTTCACCAGCCTCCCTGCTCTTCTCTGGACCTGCTCCAGCATTTCAATATCCTTCCTGAACTGAGGGGCCCAGAACTGCACACAGTACTCAAGGTGTGGCCTCACCATCACTGAGTCCAGGGGCAGAGTCACCTCCCTGGTCCTGTTGACCACACTGTTCCTGATCCAGGCCAGGCTGCCATTGGCCTTCTTGGCCACCTGAGCACACTGCTGCCTCATGTTCAGCTTTCTGTCTATCCAAACTCCCAGGTCCCTTTCTGCCTGGCTGCTCTCCAGCCGCTCTGTCCCCAGCCTGGGGCACCGCACAGGTTTCTTCAATTTAAACAAACACAGTAAAGTAAAGCATTTTGAGGTTTAAACTGGAAATGTGGAAATAATATTTTTCCTAATCACTTTGAATTTTCTAAATTACTCTGGTCTACATCCTATTTTGAACTACAGTTCCTGCTACTGAAGTAACCTCTGAGCAACAAACACTTTGAGGGTTTTTTGAGACCTTGGCTGAGACTTGTAGTCTTTGATGGCATCAAATGACATTTAAAAAGTGGAAAGCACACCTGAGGAGAAATATGTCAAAGAAATGAAAAAAAACTAGTGTTTGGAGGATAATCTTATATTTTAAAAAATATTATAATCGGAAAGCAAATTATTAGGAACCCCATTACTAGGTGGACCTTTATTATGAATTAGCAAACATGAGTCATTAACAAAAATAAATGCTGCTTCACAGTAATGACAGTTCTGTCTGTAGCATTGACCCCTGGCCAGACTATAGGATACCAGGAGACTTCAGAGTCCAGGTCACATATACTCCTGCTGTTCCTGACGTGGCTTAATTCCAGCTATCTGTTCACCTGCTACAAAAGGGCTAACTGTGATAAGGCTTTGTGACTTATTCCTTCTATTGCTGCAAAACCTTGCCAGGCAGATTAGCAGGGCTTTTTATTCAAACAGACAAAAAGGATACAAAGATCAAGAGCTCTCGGGGTATAGCAACAAATACAGAAATGAACCAATTCAGCTGAACAGCAGACAAAAATAAGTCTTTATGCTCAGGCATACACAGGGGCCATAACAAAGCTGCACCCACTTATATCATTTCTTCATTTGCCATCTGACTTATGCTCAGTTGTTGTGAACTGTGTAACCATGCTGAAATCAGGTTAAGTGGCTCATTTGGTACATCTTTTCTTCACAAGTACAGTGGTAATGTCCCCCCTTTATCCCCACTCCCCAAAGGAGCTGGGAACATAATTGAGGCAATTTTAACTTGGCTTTTATGTATGAGAGGTCACTACAATACTTACTGCCAGTAAGTGGCTTTAAGCATCGTGCTGGTGTTTCATTCTCTGCAAGTCCATTTGTCTTGTCTGCTGCTTCCCTTGTGCTCGGGTTCGCATGTTGAAACTGCTCCTCGTTTCCTTTCGCAGACTTGAGATTCAGCTCTTCAGTAGCCTGTCCTTCACCTCTGCAGCCCTCTCTGGATGTGGCACATTGGTCAGCACTTTCCTCACTCTGTGCTGGAGTACTGCATCCATTAATGCCATCTATTTTCTCGCCATCCGGTGAAGCATGATCCTCGGGGTAATTTGAAACATTTTTATTATCTCTTGATTGCACAGAGTTGTTACTGGCAGGTGTCAGGGAGGCGCTGACAAGACAGTTCTTTTGGGAATGGTACTGAGGTATAATTCCAACAAATTTCAAGCCTTGACTTGCAGCATCTTGAATCTACAAGTTGAAGAAGATTAGATTTTTAACTGTCAAGCTGTCTCAGCTAAATAGAAACACAGAAAATAACACCCTTCAAGGCAGCTAGCATGTCATTTTGCTACTTTTGTCCACTACCACAAATTGTCACGTTGCATTTACATAAAAAGTTACATTCTAAAGAAGGATGAAAAGTTCCCTAAACCATCTGAAATAATGTTAAAGTGTGAAAAAAAGAAAAAAGGGGAAAAAAGAGATAGAAAATGCCCACGCATTTCTTTACAAAACATGAAGTATCTACCTGAAAAACTTATTTATGATAAAATACCAGAAGTCGTATTTCTGAAAAAAAATTCTAGTATCAGTCTTAAGAAGTCAGAGAGTTATTTTTACATCTTCCGCTGTATGAGGTGTGTGATTTTGACATTTATGCAAGGAAAAGGTTATTAAGTCTCTCTCTCTCTCTGTTATATGCATCACTATAACGACAGTTGTTCTTTGTCCTATTTTGGACTGAGACACAAATGGCAAACTTTCTCATAAGGGCTACATAAAAGCAAAGGAGTTTTAATACATCACTTTTTGGAAGATACAGAACTCAGAATAGAAAAAGGCATTGTGAAATGAGCTAAGGAGAAGAAAAAATGGAATCTGAGGGGCTCTATTGTTAATCCTTTACAGTTGAAGTATAGGAGGAAAATGAAGGAATCAAATCACAAAAGATCCTAAGAAAAAGCACTGGGCTAGTAGTCGTGGCAATTAGATAAAGCCAGAATTAAGTAATGAAGGTTTGAGATGAAGCAGAAGGAGAAATCTCTTTCAAGCAAACTCAGCACTACAGTCACCAGCCTCACTCCTCAAACCCAGGAGGAGCTGCAGTGCGAGACAGACTTCTGTGAAAACATATGAGTGTCTACTGCTTCATTTATCAAAATCACTCATCAAAGTGAAAAGGCTTCCATTTAATGTATACTCTTCATATAAAGTAAAGTCTAAATACACATATATGTTTCAAAAGTAAATGCCCTGAGAACAGAGAAATAATTTCACCTTCTCTGAATAACAAGTAATTCTAGAGAGTTAAAGTGCCTTAATTATTCTCCTACGCTCAATTTAGTATGAACTTAGGAGAAATAGTTGAGTTTGGTTTTTTCAGCAGCAAGTAAATAGGAAGAATTTTGTAGAAGTTTTTTTTTTTTTAATTTAAGAGGAAGCTAATTTCTGCATCTTCTCTACCCAGATTTTATTTTTTTTTCTTAATGAATCACTTACTTCCTGGTATCATGTTACTGTTCTGAACACACAAACCTACAGATGACACCTGATCAACAACAAGAACTTCCTCTTTCAAACAACTATTATATTTTCCATGTTAAATTAACTCTTGATTTCATGATCATAGGAACTTTAAACAGAGCTCTGCAGGAAGTAAGGTCTTCACAGGTGTTTAGCCTGGAAAACATGGGATGCTGACTTAACTAAAGCTCATGCTAAAGAGGACAATAACTTCCAAATAAAAATACCACTAGCAGTATCCTGACAAAGTGAATATCTGACTACAAAGAAAAGTTAGTATGCAACTTGCTCAGGAAGGTTTAAGCGAATATCAATGACAGATGCATTCATAATATGCTTTATGTTCCAGACTCTCCATTGTAACTTGACAAATACTTTTTTACATAGTCAGTGGTAGAGTTACAAATTCATTTCATCTCATCACTCATCTACAGACACAACACTACATTTGTTTAGTAGGTTGCAGGGCAGCTAATTATAGTAATTTAACTAGTATGCAACTGCTAAAGAGTTTGAGGACAGTACATACATGGTAATTTTACTGGTCCTGGTCAATAAAGACTGCTTGTCAATCTAGAGCAGACTCCCACGCTGTGATTTGGATGAGAACAGCTTTCACAGATATTGTAGCAATAGTTTACAGTCTTGGCTCACTCAATAAAAAAGTGTTTGTTCTAAGGAATACCTGATGCTGAGGTGTTTCTTCTGAGGCTCTTGTTCTCAGAATGGAAATGGGAGAAACTAAGAACTGAATTATAGTCTAAGCTGTATTAGCCAAATTAGTTTAGCAGAAAGATTGGAAAAAGAGTATGTATCTTCAAGGACCTTTCCTAACAAAGTTAATAGGTAGTATACAGAACACAAAATCTTATTTAAACATATATTTCAAATTCTCCCAATTACATGTGGCAGAACTAAGCATCTCATTATTTACAATGTAGCCAATTTAGCAGGAAATGCTACATCAACAGTGCGATGTAAACTGCAAAGCAGCAAAACGATGTGTCAGCAGACACAGTCTCTCCTTTCAGCTCTCCACAAAACCATGGAGGTTAGATCTCATCAGAAAATATAAAACCTGAACATTTTCAAACTACAAAGACAACTTGTTTTTCAGCATCCCGTTGAGAGCTTAAATAATACGACATTTTAGTTGCCTTCACATCCAGACTGAATTATGTCATCCAGTACATATTCACATTTCCTGTTTCCTGTATTTCAAATATTGAATATTTGAATTATATAAAAAACAAACAAACTCCACCACGAACCAAACAAAAACCCAAACAAACAAACCCAGACTTAAACAAATCCAAACTTCAGTAACCAGAGAGGTTGTGCCCAGGAGCTACACAGGACCAAAGGGCTATTTCCATCAGCCACCTGTGGTTTCTGGGCCCTTTGAGACATCCTTGCTGGTACACACAGTCAGGTATGTCTGTTCCAGCCTTTTGGGAAAATGTTAGCAGTGTTGGGAATCAGTAAGAGGGCAAGGCATGGCAGAAAGCAGGGGTTAATCTGAACTGAAAGGGAAGAACAAGATGTTGCCTGGACAGGGTCACCCAGAACATATTCCAGATCAGATAAATAACACAATTACTTGTCTTTATGTGCCAGTTTAGAGCACTAACAAAGAACACTAACAGGTCTGTGTCATGAAGCATTGTATGACTAAATGTGAGGAAAAAACACAAAAAGAACTGCCTGTCTACTGCTTGCCACATCAGATAAAAAGCTAGATTAAAAACGCCCTTATGCTAGGTGATTCATACTAATTTCAGCTGGTTTAATGACCTTTTTTGTACTTTAAATATAGTAGATACTTGCTCTTTACATCTTAGTAATTTTTTTAATGGGAAAGTCCAACTAAATTGAAAAAAATTAAATTCTTTGCTTCTTTCCCCAGATAGGAACAGAAACATTTTCATTGCTTCATGAAGTGCTGCTTGGATGATACTAACTGCAAATACAAGACCAGATCTCCATCACAAAAGATGCTATTGTTCAACCACAAAAGCAGAACTTAAGTCATTTATTTCAATCTGGATAGACCCCCAAGTGGGCACATCCAAATTCATTGTAACTGGATTGCAACAAATTGGATTTACGCCAGTCTAAAAATAGAACACACTTAAAGAAGGGGTGAAAATTCATATACAGAGGGCCAAGGCAGTTAAAGAATTTAATGTCATCCCTATAATTTGCTTGATTAGAAACCTGGCATTTTCCCTGAGGGGAAAAAAAATGACAGATTTAGCCTTTGCTGCCTGCGAAATAAATATCAAGTCTCCCACGAACTTTAGCAGGAATAGGAACAAGCACCATGTCCAACCCCGATGTCACTACCTTAATTGAATTTTAGCTAGGGCACTTGTGTTAACATTCTTAACATTTGTGAAGCGTTATTGTTTATTCCAGAACTGCCTGACCACTATTTTTATACAGCATTTGGGAAAATAAAGGAACCAGCAGCAGCACAAAGCAGTGTCACTAAACATTATGATGATGTAGAAATTCATGTCCCATCTTTTTAAATACTTCTCATTCTCTTGAAGGCTCCCTACCTAATTAGAAAATGGCTGACAGACTATATTAAAGATCTGTAAAACAGCACCTGGCAACAGTATGGCTGAATGATGAAATCATCTTTCCTGGAAACTACTTGGTTTTACTCTATAGGTCTCACAGCTGTGAAAAAAGTGCAGAGATTCCAGGTTGAATGCTTATTTTGAACAGCCACATACAGGTCCTCTTTTCAAATCTATTTAGAATAAAGACACTTGGCAAGTCCATTGTACAGCCCACGTATGGTTTGTGATTCTGTGTTTCTTGTTGCATTATCAGCTCCATAATAATCTCCTACTGATAGCGAGCATGATGGTACTCATAAATATGGAAACTCAAGGATGTAGATCCCATGCTGAACAGAATCATACACTTCTGTCAGCTTTGGCAATTGCTTACAGGGAGATCCTGATCGCTTCCCCGTGGGATGGCACACAGAAAATCAAACACTTCCAGCAAGCTCAGGATAGTATTCCACTCACACCAATAAAAATGCAAAATAACACATAGCAATTGAATAATAAGGATCCCTCTTAGATAAGGTTTTTCAAACAAAAATTTTAACAAGTGTTGGGAACTTCTCTTAATACTTCTATGCCAGGAGCTGGACATTTTTGGGATGCATCCAGAGGAAAAGCAGTTTTTCTAGTGTCACCAAGGCAGTCCAGTTTAGAGCAGTCCTAAATGGTCTGAAGACTTACACTATCTCATGATCTGGGGAAAAAAAATCCACCTTTAAAACCAAGGCACTAGGACTGAACATTTCATTAACAGATTTCACAGAATCACAGGATCATTAAGGTTGGAAAAGGCCTCTGAGATCATCGAGTCCAACCTACAACTTAACATCACGTCAACTAGACCATGGCACTAAGTGGCACATCCAGTCTTTCCTTATGCACCTTCAGGGACAGTGACTCCACCACCTTGCTGGGCAGCCCACTCCAATGCCTAACTACCCCTTCTCTAAAGAAGTTCTTCTTAATGTCCAACCTGAACTTTTCCTGGATGTCTGCTATGTGGTTCATGATGTGACAAGGTACTGAAAGAATTCAGTAGCAACCCAGTAAAGGGGACTGCTGCTAATATAAAAAGAAAACCAGAAACAATTAACGAAGAGCACACATAGCAAAAATGTGCTTAGAGAAAGGACAACATTT